CTTTAGTGAGATATTATAAAAACCATTTAAAAAACTGGCTATAATAAAAAAGTCCTTATTACTGTTTTTTAACACTATAACTTTTAACTCATTAGAATCATGCCTTTTTAGTTTTAGAGTAATTAAAGTTTTTAGAGTTAAATAGAAGTACTTACATAAATTGTGGAGTTGGTAAAAGGTTCTTGGACAACGACCGACTTGTTCAGCTTTTGAAACTAAACTTACTACTTGCGACTTTTAAGTAGGCTTTTACTACGACCGAAAAATCACAAATCAACAATTTTTTTGCAGTGTGAATATTATATTCATTTATTTACCCTACTCACAACTGGTAATTTTTTTATTTTTCGTGTACATACTTTACTTAGAAAGCGGAGTTTAGATTGTGTTTTTCTACGCAGTACGCACAGTGGGGACAGGGCATAGCGGTACACGTTTTAGCTTCGATGCAAAGCGAGAAGGTATTGGTTTTACTCTGATGTGTGTTTTTTTTTATCTGTATACACTGTAACTTTTTTAATACTGGACCAATTCCTTTGAATAGCAACTCTATAAATCACAAATTTTGTCTAGTTTGTACTTTGGGGGGGTAAAAGTTGAAAAAGTTTAATTCTTCACAGACGAAAGTTGAAAAAACAAAAAAAAAAACCGTACGAGTTTTTAAGTTAGAACTTTTACTGGCTATAATTTCGAGAAAAAGAGTTGGATCGAATTGAAATGTATAAAAAATAATTATTTGGTATGCCCGCACACGTCAGTTGTGTCAAACTTAAACTATACCCATTTCCCACCCCCCTAGGGGGGGTACAAGTTTTTTTGTTTTTCGAGGTTTTTAGCCGTAATTTTAAAACTTTTGGGTTGAAAATTTGCCAGTAGTTGGAACTCATATGTACCCATAACATATTAAACGGGAAAAAAATTCGGCACTACAGTTTTTTTTTAATTGCTGGGAAACTGTGTTTTCGCAGATTTCGTATATTTTAACAAAAACACCTAAAATCTTTAAAAAAAATTGATCAAATCATTAAAACAATTTTACGTATATCTATGCAGAATGATACTATTAGGTTTTGGGCTCAAGTACCACTTTTGACTATAAGCTTACACAAATTCAATTTTTTTTTTTTTTTAACTCAAAACCCGGTGTACCAGATGTGAGAAACGAACAGACACTAAAATTTATCAGTTGGTAACGTCTATCCGTGTTAGATTAGTTTAGGGCCCAATGATCGGTATCATAATATTTTGTTTATTACATGATATCACAGGCGACTAAATCGTGTAACTGATTGTAGTAGACACTCGATTTATTTGGAAAAAAACCTATCCGTGTACTTATTAAGACACTTAATGATTCTGATACGACAAAACCACTGTCGTTATCTCGTGTTTTTATAGACTGCGTTATATAACCTTACCGAAGGTCAACTATGAGTATATAAGGTCCAACTACCTGCAAATTATGAAGAGGACTGTTGTTTTTTGGATTCAGATTAAGTGTTGGTTTTTATGCAGTATACCGCCTCAAAATGTATTTTTTATTACACAATTTTTTTAAAGGAAAACTAATGTTTTGCATATTGTTATACTGTTATTCATTTAAAGAGATTCACGCTTGATTGTTTAAATTGTCTAATATTAGATAATCTGCTTCGTGCTAATTTTAATTTTTTAGTTTATCAACTTGTAGCTCTTATTTTGTATAAAATATTTCATTATTTTATTACTATGTACAGATTAAGATAAATTTTAATAATAATTAAGTCATAAATGATAATACTTTATTTTATGACTAGATCAAATCTCGTGAACATTTAATATCATGATACTGCTCCTATGCTATTATTAAAAAAACACAATTTTTAAAATCTCCATTAAAGGTTATTGTTAAATAACAGGCAACAGCCGACTGCTAGTGGCTATACACGTTAGTAATATTTAACTAATAAGTAATAAATGTAGGTAAAATTTATTGTTTTCTCCATCACAGTACCAGTATACGATTTATTTTAATTTAAATGTAAGAAAATCGATTTTTCTTTAGAAAATAACAAGAAATTAATATACAGGATGAGGCAGTAAAACGGCGATTTTCTAATGTATTTAAATGGTAAAACCCGTTTCACTAACCCACCCTTTACATTTTAAGGATCTATGAAAAGGTTTTTTTAGTTACATTTTATTTTGTACATTGTCAATCTAGTAAAATAGAAGTATAATATAGCTTTGAAATAATATAATCTGTGAAGTATAAATAGTTTGTATGAGATTGCTTTAATGGAAGTATATAATACATAAATATTAATTTTATTGAGAATAAGCGATTATAATTTAAACTATGGAGTACAAACGATTGAAACATGAATCGTCGACCATTCCAACAAAATATAACAAGACATTGTATATGTGTTATTTGGTCCACTAAGTTTTTGCAAAAAAAAAAAAAAACCAGTACAGTGGGGTCGGTGCATAGTGGGGACGGAGCATAGTTGGGTCGGGGCATAGTGGTGACGGGGAGGTCACAGGTTTACAGGAATTTTTAAATCTGAAAGTGATAAAATCACTTTCGAAAAAACGCTTCGATGCAAATCGGTAGTTAGTATTTTCAAGCCAGTACAGTCCAAACCAAGCACAGTATAAACCAGCAAAGTTAGAAAGTTTTAAATGAAGATTCTGTATTTACAAATGAGCATCAAAGCGTTTATTTGAAAGCGATTTTATTCAATTTTATCACTTTTATTTATAATAATTCTTGTAGACCTGTGACCTCTCCGTTTCCTCATTGCTTTGATTACATTATGCCAATACTCTACTGTACTAGTCCTCTCGGATAAAATCACTTTCAAATTAACGCTTTGATGCTCATTTGTAATTACAGAATCTTCATTTAAAACTTTCTAACTTTGCTGGTTTATACTGTGCTTGGTTTGGACTGTACTGGCTTGAAAATACTAACTACCGATTTGCATCGAAGCGTTTTTTCGAAAGTGATTTTATCACTTTCAGATTTAAAAATTCCTGTAAACCTGTGACCTCCCCGTCCCCAATATGCCCCGACCCAACTATGCTCCGTCCCCACTATGCACCGACCCCACTGTACTGGTTTTTTTTATTTTGTATACAACTGTTTTACAGGTGACGAGTAATCTTAGATATAGGTATAACAAGAAAACTGTATTATACAAGATGGATATTTCATTAAAACCAGGTTTGATATTTTTTTACACAAACAAATCAGTTCAAGGAGGGCGAGTGGCTGAGTGGGTAAGGCGGCAGTGTGTTAGCGCTCACTGTCGCCGGTTCGACACTAGGTCACGAGCGCTCCGTTTGCCGGATCAGCAATCGTCCGGTAAAAAGTATTGCGATATAGTGAGCAACATATTTTCAGAGATTTTCTCTCCCGATAGAGCGAGGTGATTTTGAAGATTCTGTAGTTTGCTGATATGCGTCGAAATGTCATCTGAAGGCTCTTTTACATAACTGAAAAATGTATTTTGTAATAAATACATAGCTCGGAAGGCTGGACACTTTGGAAATTTCAAATGAAGGTAATAATTAATTCATTTAAGATAAGCGGTATTAATACAGGAGACTATAAAAAGCAAGTATATACAATAGCAACCTCCGAGAAAGGAGAGGAAGATATATGCAATACATTGTATATACCTGCTTCAGATTTTTACTCGTAGATACTTAATGATTTGCTTCACATATCATATGCTGTACTACAATTTAGCAAATATTGTAACGGTCCACTTTCCAATGAAGTGACTATTAGTCTTTGACATTTACTATCAGCCCTTGGCCACGCTATTCGTTCTAACTGACACCTTTTTTTGGCTTCCTCTCCTTTCTCGGAAAATTTATCGCATTTCGTGTAATATTTTTTGGTTACTTCAAATAGCAGTATAAAAGTTCGTCTATGCAAAATTTAAAGTACGAAAGACATATTTTGGCACAAGTGCGCATCCTCGCACGCGTTTTTCATTGTTTACATAAAAAATAACCTTGTGGTTTTGTGTGTACATCAAAAACACCAAGAAACTATTAAAGCTTGTATGTTATAGATAATTAATGTTTCAAAAAAGTTTCGAAAAGTTTCAACTGGTATAACGATTATTTTCATTTAATAATTAACTTAACAAATTTAAGTTTTCAAACCATAATGTTAAAGGTTTTATTTTATGCTCTAAATTTTCGTCGTACCTGAAATGTACATAAAATACGCTAGTATATTATAAAAAACGATAAAGTGTGTAAACAACACATGGTTAGTAAGATTTTTTTTGCGTCTTATTTACCTTAAATTCGTAGCGGTATGAAAAAACATATGAGTAATAATAATACACATAAAAAACTTCATGATGGCAGATGTACACGGATTTTTCGTACTATTAAATGCGTAAGTATATAAAGTATACAAAGTATACTTTATATACTTATATATATAAAGTATTGAAGTATCATTATGTTGATCATATTCTATAAGAATGTGTTGTATAACTTTACTCAATTTGCTATACTTTTAGGCAGAATTTACAGAAATGAGAAAATTTTAAATACATTTATTTTAAATACGCATATCATATATTATTTATATAATAATAAAAAAACTATAATTATTATAATAAAATTAATTTTTTTTTGTACTGTATTAAATTGTATCCATATTTCAACAATTATTAGTCTTGGAACACCTAAAAATGTCTACATTAGGTCATGAATAATGTTAAAGTTTTAGTATTTCAATATCGTTAAAGTTTTTTCAAATGACAATATTTGTAACTTTTAAAACAGTTTTTGTAATGCCATAATTAAAAAAAAAAAATACTTTTCCGTCCAATGATACATTTCTTTTATGTATTTACTCCATAAATCACATAAAAAAAAAGGTGAACCATTTGTGCAAATAAATGAACATAACACCTATACTGCAAAAAAAAAAAAAATGCATTGTAATTTTTTGGTCGAAATAAAAACTTATACATCGTAAGTAGTATATTTAGTTTCAAAAGCTGAACAATTCGTTTGTTGTCCAAGAACCTCTTATCAGCTCCACAACTTAAGTAAGTATTTCTATTATACTCTAAAAATTGTAATTACGCTAAAACTAAAAAGGCATGAACCTAATGAGTGAAAAGTTATAGTGTTGAAAACATTAATACACAATCCACTTGTGTATATACTATTTTCACAATCCACATTTTGGAGAGAATTCTTTAATAGATTTTGGGTTTTTCCGGCATTTGGCTTGGAGTACACAAAATGATGTAAAGTGAAAAAAGCATTTTTTAAATCGTTTTCTTAATATCTCACTTTTAATTGTAATTACAATTTATTATTTGTTTGATGATTGTACACACATTATAAATCAAATGAAAATAATTTCAAAAAAGTTCAGCATGAAGTGTGGACACACTTCATGCTAAGTAAAAAAAAAAAATAGCGAGTGCTCACCGCCGTGTATACTATACACGAAGCATCGCAATTCCAGTAAACGCGTGTAAATTTTACCATCAATTTCGAAACGACTTTGTGGGCAAACGGCTGAACAAAAATGAAGTTATGAGATATCAGTAGATTGGAAATGATGTGTAAATTGGGTCGAGTAAATTAACATATTGATTGATTGAATACTTTCTTAGTTACTAGCAAAATAGTACAACATTTTCGAGCTCTCGAGATACTCGTTTTGTATGTGTAGTGGTATAATAAAATATAATACCGGGCGACGCGACCTGCCAGGTATCGGAGTCCCAACAACTTCGTCATCCTAAACACCACTACGGCTACATACCTGCCAGTGGTGCCACTGGCGCTGTCTAAACTTTAAACCGGAGGCAACTGTGATTAATTCAAAATGTTTTTTTATTTATTATTATTCGTAGATAAAAATGAACCTCTACTGTTTATTGATATCTATTTTCTTCGTGAATGTATTGGCAAATGATTATGGTAATTATTTTATTTTCACAGTTATCAACTTACTTAAAATTTGAAAAAAAATGTAATATTTTATTTTTTTAAAGCGCTTTATGTGGAGTATATTTACATTACAAGTCAGTAGTATTTATATTTTATTAACAAATGTTTTAAATCCATCGCTTTCATACATATTTTTCATATTATCTATCACAGCTGAAACCATCAAACGTGCTTCTTCTATGAATGATTTAACTGTAGGAGGTAGATCTGGAGCTAGTAAGATAATTTACTTAAAATAATATACTTATCTACATAAAAGCTTTGTAATATGTACCTAGTAGATATTATTAAGTAGATTGAAAATGATAGTTTCTATCAATTGTTAAGAAAAGTGCACCAGATATGTAAAACAGTGTACAGAGCAATACAATATATATATATATTATCAAATTCTAATAATCTAATCGAGGGAGAAGCGTTAAATTAAATGGCTACTACTCAAAGCCGGATTTAGTATTATTCTAAACATTGGTATTGTACCTAATTTGATTTAATTTTAATATTGTAGTATAGCTAAAATCGTCATTTGTTTATTCTAGATGGATTGGAGCATGTAATTGAGACAATGGTTGATGATACCACTAATGACTTATACTACAAGGAATTCTGTAATCATAATTATAATATTAATAAAAAAACATCAAGACAATAGTAGAAAAAAATAATTGAAAATAATATAAAAAATGCATCTCAAATTTATCTTAATGCAATTGATGAGTGTTATAATTGTTTTTTTTCAACGAAATCTAAATAGTGGCTTTATGGAAAAATACTAATGTTAGCTCTATCAACCTCATCTGATTAATATATTTTATTCTCATCTCCTAAACTACATCAACTCAGCCATTACATTTCATAAGGATTTCCTTATCTGTATAATATAGTTTTTTTTACTTTGACCTTCGTTATCTATTTTATAATAATATGTAATGTAATCATTTTTTATAGCAAATCCAATTCAATATCATTAATTTATATAATGTCAATTTCAGGCAAAATGAATTTTTTGATGGCTGTACCGGGTAAGAGTTTTTGTTGAATTTTATGAAATTATTTCCAATATTTCATTCCTATTGAATTTTCCGAAGTAAGTCTCATCGGGTTTTATATACAGTGGAGCATATTTCTTTCGTGTTACTAATACACATGGTTTTTCTACCTTGAAATTCGCCTTGCTGTTCATAATAGGATAGAAAATTAAATGCATTATCATTAATTTGTATGTTGTTAATTTCAGACCAAACGGATATTCTCTGGAGAGTACAGGGTATAGTTTTCATTGCACTTTATAGAAACGTTTCCACACAGTTGTTTGATATTCTTTATGCTCACATGATTTTTGTTTTAATTTCAGCATTTCCACTTCTTGACCCATTGCAAAGTAAAAACCCCTTTTTACATTTCATATTTATTATACTTTAAATTTATTATTTACAAATATGACTTAACGGTTTCAATCATAAAAAATATGTAAGTACGTTAAAATTGATTTTGTTTCAAATTTTAGAAGCCATTATTTTCTTCCAAATGATGATACAAGACATAGAACGTATGTTAGGTAAATATAACAGTTAAAAAAAATAGTTTAATGTTTTTGTAGTTTTAAAGAAAAAAAGCTATAACTTAATATCATAAAGCTATAATATATGTTTTATGTTTAAGCTTTTAAGATTCATTTATAATATAAATCAAACCGTTTTTTTAACATTGATATAAGATATAAATTAACATTTGTACAAATATATTTAGCCTTAATTAATATTGATCTAATAAGACCTCAGTTATTAACTGAATGTTATGTAAAAAATATATTAACCTGGTTTTATTAACTGCATAATGATTTGTTGTTTGATGCATTTGTTACAGGATTTAGGTGGAACAAAGGATTAAACCAAGGTAATCATGAAATAGCCTTAAAAACTTGTTTTAAAGTTGTTATTTGCTTCATTTAATTTGTTTAATGTTTCATCTCAAACAATATTATCAAAAAATCTTAACTTTTTGAGGAGAGATAGTGTGACCGCAGTGTTAATGTGAAGTACAATCTTTGGGATTTTAAGTTTAGAAAGAAAACATTTGTTGGGTTTCAGCAATAATAAGTGGTTGTACAAAAGTAAGTTGTATCACAATATTGTTTGAGATTTAATACAATAGTTATGTATAAAGAGCGACTAAAATATTATGTATTTTTATTATTTCTTCGCAACACCGGTTATTAAATAATTATTTTCATAGAGATGGGAACATTAAATGCCATTGCAGACGAGAGAAGAGTATATCTTGTTCCTGCTTTAAACAGCGTAATCAGACGTCGTTTATTAGGTAAATATTATTATGTGTTTATATGGTTATGGAACGGTATCCATATATGTATATATTATTATTTAAGTTCAATAATAGGAACAAGGATACTACGGTTAACCATACAAATTATAACTACTCACACGTACTTTCTTGTATTACAAATAGCATGGCTGTACAATACGGACACCATGCTTATTGTATTTTTTTTTGTGACTTCGTAATAACAAATAAAGTAGTTGTGTCCTGCACCATAATGAAATGTAGTAACTAGTAAGCTAATATAAGCAAATTAAAAAAAAATCTTTTCAAATATTTCAGATGGATCTGTGCCGCATGTAGATGATGAAGCCACTATATTATCTAATTGTCGTTTGCTAGGACTATACTGGAGTACACAATTTTCAAAATTATACATAAAAGAAGTTGAGATTGACCCAACTGACCTTACATGTATCTTAACGAATATAATTGGTGCCAAAAGGAGATACAGAAAAATTGGTAACGCATGGTCTGAAATAAATGATAATAACCAATCCCTAAAATCACTTGAGGAACAGTTACGTTTTGATACACAACACTCATCTGACGAGAGCAAAAACTCCACAGATGAAGAAGACTATAGTTTACACAACCACTGCAGCCTAACCTAACCAGCGTTCTTAGGACAAAGGCTGTAGGCGCGGTCGCTCCGATGGACTCTTATTATTATTCTTCGCTTTTTGTCAAACGTGCTCCGGCACTCGACGTTTGTAAACACATTCTTTGTTCTAGTATATTATTAAAAATCATAATTGATTACTCAAAAAACTGTTTCGTTAATTATGTATTTGCTTTCCCTTAAAAAAATCATTGGCCAACGCATGAGTCGATAACGACCACAATTAACAAATAAAAATTCAAATTTATGATGATAATATTAACCTAAGTGTCGTTTGCTAGGATTATACTGGAGTACACAATCTCCAGAATCATACATAATAGATCTTCAGATTGACTTAACTGATCTTATAAAATATTATAATTAATCTTATTTCTGTCACTATATATTCATTATAAAATCTGAAATTGTAAAATATTATATATATATATATATACTTAAAATTAAATTCGTAATACTAACAATTGTCGTAAAATTTTAATTACTCAAGTAAAAAAATAATTGACCCAAAATATAATAAAAATAAAAATCGTTTTAACGTTGGAGACTTCAAATAACATAACTAGGTCGATTCAAAAGATGTTGTTTTTGTTTTCGAATAGTTTTTTATTTACTACATTGGTGTTTGACTGTAACTGTTTGAACAAGTAAACAAAACAACACATAAAAATAAGTTTTCTTCTTATTTCACCCGATACGAATTTAGGGCAAATAAGTCGCAAACAAAATATTACTAACCGTGTGTCGTTTACACACTTTATCGTTTTTTATAATATTTTAGCGCATTTCATACAACGAAAATTCAGAGCATAAAATAAAACCTTACACATTATGGTTTGGAACCCATATTTGGGCCTCTGGTTAAAGAAATCTACACGTTGGAAAATAATTATTCTACTCGTTTAAATTTTCCGAAAAAAACTAAGCCAGTATAGTTAGGTCAAGGCATAGTGGGGAGGGAAGGTCACAGATCTACAGAAATTATTATAACTGAGAGTGATAACATAATTTTTAAATAAACGCTTTGATGCGAATCTATGGATAGTAGGCTCAAACCGGTACAGTCCAAACTAAGTATTGTAAGAAAATATCATATGTAAGTGTGTGAGTAGTAGTAAGTAATAGTAGGTAGTAGTAGTAGTATGCGAGTAAGTAAGAGAGGTCCAGTGTTCACAGATAAAAATAAAAATATCGATAAAAACATGGTACCTAATGTCAATTTTTTGCTTAAAAATTAATTTTTAGTTCAAGGGTGGCTACGATTAGGGTTCTAAAGTCAGTAAAAATTAACATACTAAGAGACTTTCGTAAAAGTTATATTCTAGGTTGGAGCGATGAGTCAAAAATACTGTACAATTAATAAATCCAAGATCAAACCATGTGGAAAGGAAAAAAGCTTGTAGTTTCCCTGGACCGAGCCAGGCGTCAAAAATGGATTGAATCTATGGAAAAGCTTGACATGAGGAAGAGTAGTCGAAAACGTCATTCCAGCATTTCAAGCTGCCTTCCGGCTTAATAGAGGATGCTGTGGGACAGGTTATGGCGCTTACTTCGTATCTGGAGAAAGGCTGCAACGACGGCGCAAAATCGGGAACAGCTTTTATTGATCTAAGTGCTGCGTACGACACCGTATGGAAACATGGCTTATTACTTAAATTGTTCAAAATATTCCTAGGTAAATTGCTGCTCAAATTCCTGGAAAAAAGCTTAGGCAACAGACACTTTAGAGCGTTCTTAGGGGACTAAATTAGCAAATCCCGTGTGCTTAATCACATGGGCTTCTCAGGGGTCAGTCCTTGCCCCAGTACTTTTTAATATTATATACACACACGATCTCCCAGAAACAACTTTAAAAAAATTCGTATACGCTGACAATATCTGCCTAGAAACACAAAGCAAAAAATTCGACACAATAGAAGACACCTCAGAAGAAGACTTGTTTGACCTCGAAGAGTATTTGAAAAAGTGACGCCTAAACCCTAACTCATCAAAAACAGTAGTTTCCAAATAGTTCGCCCAAATAACAGGATGGCGAAACAGAAGCTGTCAGTAAACTTCTGTGGCCAACCAGTACGACACGATCCACTACCGGTTTATCTGGGCGTCTTTCTACACATCACCCTGGTATAAAAAGAACACCTGAAGAAAGTAGCGTCTAAACTCAAAACTCGTTCGTCTTTAATAACCAAATTAGCTGGTACTACCTGGGGTGCATCTACTCAGGTACTCCGAACATCAACTATGTCCCTTTCATATACTGTGGCGTAATCTTGCGCCCCAGTATGTGAGGGCAGTCACCAATACAACCTCGTCGATGTAGAACTACGGAAAACCATGCGCATAATTTCGGGAACAGTAAGGTTAACACCAATGCAATGGCTCCCAGTCCTAGCAATATCCAACCTCCCTATATTAGAAGACAGAACACTGTGTTGAAAGCTGCTGCAAAAATTGCGTGTAACACAACGCTTCCATTTCATGAATACGGAGTCGAGAAGCCAAGGCTCAAATCCCGACATCCGGTCCTAGAAAGAGTGACGTCAATAAAGGACCAAAGACACCTTAAGCCTTCCACGTGGCAGGAAGAATAGAAAAGCTATCTCCAAATTAACGGGGATTTAGTTAAAGAGGTTTATTTCGTCCAACCAGCATCGTCCCTTCCACGCAGGTTATGGCCTAGACCAGGTGTCTCCAACCTACGGCCCGTCAAGCTTTCCAAACCAGCCCGACAAGTTTATTGATGTTTTGACAATATTATCAATAAATGGTTTTCCTGAATGAGTTAAATTTAAAGCTTCAAAGAGCAAACTCGTTTATTTCAAAATCTCCTGCATCAATTTTTTTAAATTAGATCTAACTCTATTCACAAATCAACTAATAGAAAAAAGTCTTGTTCATTTTCCAACTTGCAACTAATTCAAACTTGAAAATTATGTAAAATTCCCTACCGATTTTGCTGTTGGAGTTCTCACTTATTTGAAAGAGCAGTTCCAGGCCAGCTTTAGAGATTTTGAAACCGGTTAGGTATTCGGTCTTCGATACCGGCGGTTTTTTTCAGTCAAAACACATAATTTTTTGTCCACCGCACAGGCCCAAACAGGATTCCATTAAGTAATTTTTAAACAGATTTGAATTCGTCATGAAGTTTACTTGTACGATAGATTCGTACGCGGCCCTTTTTTAAATTTTGAATTTTAACTCTTTACAAATTTGATTTAAAAATAAAAAAATGTAATACAATTTTCAAACGTTTCTTATTCATAGTAAGACAAACATATCAAAAAAGTACCTCGTAGGATCCCAAGTAAACTTTATAACGAATTTAAATCGGTTTTCAGATAACTAATCGGATCACTTATATGACCTATGCGATGGACAATAAATTTACCATTATATTAACTAAAATGGCTTTTACTCATAGACAAAATTATTTGCATTAAAAATAATACGAAGAAGCTTATACAAATTAACCGGTAAATTTATTAAAAGAGTCGAAGTTTATTTAAACCAATTTTTTCTTAAATATTGCCTAAACAAAATTCCTTAAAAATGGTCGGTATCGAATCCCCTTAAGTTACTTACTAGTATCAATATAAAACAAATTTTAAATTAAAAAAATACAAATTTATATGCATTTTTCTAAAATCTAAAAAATCTATGCCATATTTATCTATTCTTCAATTTAATTACCTCACTATTCATCTAAAAAATGTTGGCCCGTGATGCTAAAGCGTATCTTAGATTTGGCTTGCCGTAAAAAAAGGTTGGAGACCCCGGGCCTAGACTAAATCGAATTCGTTCAGGTCGAGGCCGATGTAACCATTTGATGCACAAGTGACGCATTAAAGAGGATCAGAGATGTGACTGCGGAGCGGATGCAAACACGATGTATCATATAATTAGGCAATGCGAGCATAGGAAGTTTATTGGAACACTCGAAGTCCTACATTCAGCGTCGGACGAGGCAGTATAGTGGCTAGATAAACTGGACGTAAACATTTAACCGCACTGATGAAAGGACAAATTAGTTACACATTGTTACGTACAACTTAAAATTTTATTTTGAAACTATTTGTTGAATTTTATTAATTTTTAATTCTGTATTTATTTATATAAACAATATTTGTGTTATATTGTATTTGCATTCTTTACGATCGTACGAAAATAAAAGGAGTTTCACATAGAAAAAAAGTCGAATTGAACGACTCATAGCCTACTTTGTCCTTGAAATTGTTCATGCCTTTATCGATGAAAAATAATTTATGTAAAAAAAATAAAGTTTTACCTTAAAACTTTTGCGATCCGGTTCAACGGTAATATTGGTTTTTTAACGTGCCTATATATGAAATGTAGGTACGCTTTATTCATTATACTTCGTTTATTTTTTTTTTTTTATTTTTAAAGAAAATTCAATATTATATTGAACACAATGATATATGACCTTGGGCTGGCTAAAAGCCGAATTGTCGACGAATAATGATAGATGAGAAAAATTCGTGTGATACAATATTATGATATAATATATTCGTGACATTTTTTGAAGGAGAGTCATACGGTTAGAACTTTTTTTTACTTGGAACTACTGAAGCAGATCTCTTGGACAATTACGGCAAAGACCAGAATGTCCGGTAGTGATATAGAAGTGAGGTTATAAACGAGTTGGATAGGATGACCCTTGAGTTTAGAGTGGAACCTTGCATGGTAGATTATGAGAGTTTCGTTAACTGTTTTGACGTTTAAGTCTGAAAAATTTCAGATGTTGAAATGTTGTTTATTTACAATCAAGGTGGCTACAGAAGTAAACTTGCCGAGAATGATATATTTTTTTCATTTATGTGTGTTACGTTGAAAACCGCTACACTCCGCTTTCTAAGTAAAGTATGTGTAAATAAATCACACACAAAAAAAAATGAGTGAGTTGTGTAATTAAATGAACATAATATTCACACTGCAAAAAAATATTTGGATTGTGACTTTTCGGTCGAAGTAAAAGTCCATCTATAAGTCGCAAGTAGTTCATTTAGTTTCAAAGCTGAACAAGTCGATTGTTGTCCAAGAACCTCTTACAAACTCCTTAATTTGAGTAAGTGTTTCTATTAAACCTTAAAAATTTGTAATTACGCTAAAACTAAAAAGGCATGAGTCTTATGAGTCAAACGTTGTAATGTTATAAAACATTAATAAGGATTTTTATTGCTAGTAATTTTTTTAAACTAAATTCATATACGTGTACAATTTTCTTAAAATTTTTTTTTCAATCACTAAAAAAAAATTTCAAAATGAAAAACATGACAAAACGAGATTTTGTCGAATTAAAGTTTTTTTCGAAAAATGATTACTTTTAATTAAATTTTATGAATAATATAGTTCATTTCAAAAAATGTATTATTTACTAAGTTTACGTACTATATTATATTAATCACTTGTAATTTATCGTTTGTTTGATAGTTGTATACACATTATAAATATATGAAAAAAAATGTTTTCATCATCCGTGTTAAAGAAACTTAGTCAATGTTCAAAAAAACTTTATTATTCACTTAAAAAATTAAGAAAAAATCGTGTTTTTAATTTTATTTTTGATGATCTCAAAACAAAACGCTAAAAAAAAATTTGTACACGTATATTAGACAGAAATTAATACCCTCCAAAAATAAGATTTTATTTATAAGTGAGACGCTCGGAAGCCAAATCGATTAACTACACTATTTTCAAATTGCGAATGATAGCATTGTGGATTACAAAAGTGTATAATTTCCAGTGGCCATGATAAATAACTCCATAGTTGAATTTTTCACCACTGAAGTGCGCTAAGTACATTGGCAATTGTACTTACATAGATTGTTTCAAATAACTTTAACTGCCTGTCCTGAAAAATTTCATTTTACGGAGTTAATCGGTTTGGATTCTGAGCGTCTCAAGTTATCATGAAAAATCTAAACCATTTTGCTGAATATTCCTTTTTTGACTTGGACAAAATATTATTTTTAATTAAAAATGTTTACTGTATTTTCAAGGCGCTATTTTTGTGAGATATTATAAAAACGATTTTAAAAATTTCCTTTTTTCACTATACCTTAGTGTACTATTTGAAAAGATATTTCAATACTTTTAATAACGGTAATAACTTTATTTCTAAAGACATTTTTGTTTTGAAACGCATATAACATTTTCTCTAAAACATCATTTTCTTTCCACTTAAAACTCATGAACAGTTTCTCTACATTGAATTGAATCTAATATAGGTAATCGGTTGACTAATACGCGTAAAGTTCAGACGCTTGAAAACTAAGTGTGTAATGTCACTTTATAACATAAAATATATTATCAAAATTTGGTTAAATAACATTTTCTATTTAAAATAGTGTAAACTAACTTTTTTATACAATACAATTTAAAAATTTAACATAGACTAAATTTCTGTCTTGCAAAACCATTTCTACCACTATTCACATCTCTGCGCCAAAGGCAACTGTGACTAATATAAAACGTACTTTGTTTACTATTATTTGCAGATAAAAATGAAACTCTTCTGTTTATTAATATCTTTCTTCTTCGTGGATAGTTTGGCAGATTATAATGGTGATTATTTTATTTCCACAGTTATCAACTAAAAGTACCTAAAATTTAAAAAATATCAATATTTCACTTTTTTACAGCGATTTATGAGAAGTATGTTAACCTACAAGTCAGTAACATTTTTATATTACGAAGTCACCCCAGAAGTAAGTTTCCCTATTTTCTTGTACTAGAACAGAAAGAGGTAGACAGCTGCGGAAGGTATCAAAATTTTCGTTTAGTAGTAGTGGTCACATTGTAAAAGTTTCAGGTCGTCAGCTTGCTTTGTTTGTAACCTATTCAGTCGTAAACATGTCAACCTACCTCGAGCGCGGGTTCGATTGCGAAGTGCGAAGTGTTATCAAATTTTTGACGTGGGAAGGTGTTGCGGCCTGTGAAATTCATCGAAGGGTTACTTCAGCTTACGGTGAAAATGTGATGAGCATTCAAATGGTTCGGAGGTGGAGAAAAACATTCGAGGAAGGACGTGTTTCGGTGCATGATGAGCACCGCAGTGGGCGCCCGTCGAGTTCGAGCCACTCCTTTAGAGTCCCAAAACACGGTTGCCATGATCTTCCCAGCTGATGTTTCAATTTTTGCTTCTTTTGGCGCTCTTTTCTGGGGTCTTTTCTACACCATGCTCTGCATTTTGGTTTCGGGAGTGTTGTGATGGATCCATGTCTCATGCCCAGTCACAATTCGAGCATAAAGACCTTCTCCTTCATCCTCAAGCATCTCAAAAAATTGATTTTCCGCGTCCAAACGGTTTTGTTTGTGCTCATCCGACAATAGCCGCGGGACCCACCTTGCACAGACTTTATTGAGGTTCAGGTCATCTTGAACAATGAGACCAACTACAGACCGAGTCAACTCGAACTTGGGATGAACCAATTCGAGGATTTGGTCAAGGGTTCGACGCCGATCTTTATCCAAAATGGCACGCACTGCCTCAACTGCGTCTTCGTGGCTCGGACTCGACAGGCGCCCACTGCAGTGCTCGTCATGCACCGAAACACGTCCTTCCTCGAATGTTTTTCTCCACCTCCGAACCATTTGAATGCTCATCACATTTTCACCGTAAGCTGAAGTAACCCTTCGATGAATTTCACAGGCCGCAACACCTTCCCACGTCAAAAATTTCATAACACTTCGCACTTCACAATCGGACCCGCGCTCGAGGTAGGTTGCCATGTTTATGACTGAATAGGTTACAAACAAAGCAAGCTGGTGACCTGAGACTTTTACAGTGTGACCACTACTATTAAACGAAAATGTTGATACCTTCCGCAGCTGTCTACCTCTTTCTGTTCTGGTACAAGAAAATAGGGAAACTTACTTCTGGGATGACCCTCGAATAAACAAATATTTATTAAGGTTCTAAAATCCACTGATTTTACTTTTTAAACATATTTTTTAAATATATGTATCATAGCTGAAGCCATCATGTTTGTTTACGATTCTAGTAATGGGACAAGTGAGAAAATATATTTAAAATAACATACTAATACATATAGAAGCTTTGTTTTTTGTACCAAATTATCAAGTTATTACTAAATTAAAAATTAAAGTTTTTATCAATAGTTATGAAAATTGCACCAGATATTGTAGCACAGAGCAAAATAAACTATATTGCTCTGTGTATATATTATATTCTATTATATATACATTACCGATATCTTATAATCTAATAGAGAGAAGCATTAAGTTAAATGGTTATTGCCCAAAGCCGTGTTTAATATTATTATAAATATTTATATGGTATATAATTTGATATTAAAATTTTAGTATAGCCAAAATCTTTAATTGTTTATTCTAGATAAATTGGAGCAACAGATTGAGAAAATGGTTGATGATGTCAATAGTGACCCTAACTACAAGGATTTCTGTAATCATAATTATAATAATATTAATAAACATCAAGACAAGAGTAGAAAAAAATATTTGAAAATAATATAAAAATGCATCTCAAGTTTTTCTTTATGCAAGGGATAAGTTTGTGAAAAAATGGCAATGTTAGCTCTACCAACGTCGTCTAATTAATATGTTTTATTCTCCCGGACCGCTTTTATTCTGAATAGAATATAGCCTACATAATATATTTTTTTTTCTACTTTGACCTTCGTCTTCTAATTTATAACTATATAACGTTACGGTTTATAATAGCAAATTCCAATATCACTAATTTTTGTAATGTCAATTTCAGGCAAAATTAATTGTGTGATCGCTGTACCGGGTAATAGTTTTTGTTGAAATTTATGAAAATTTTTCAAATATTTTACTCCTATTGAATTTTCCAAAGTATGTCTTTTCGTATTTTATATAAGTGGAGCATGTTTCTTCAGAGTTACTAATCCACATGTTTTTTTCTACCTTTAAATTCGTCTTTCCGTTTATAATAGAAGAGAAAATAAATGTAATATCATTAATTTACGTGTTGTTTGTTTCAGACCAAATGGATATAATCCCAAGAATACAGGGTAATTATTTTTACTGTACTTTATGGAAGTGTTTCCACGCAGTTGTTTGTTATTCTTTGTGCACACAAGATTTTTGTTTTAATTTCAGCACTTCCAGATATGAACCCAATGAAAAGTAAAAACGCCTTTTTAAATTTCATATTTTTTATACTTAATGTATATTTATAATTTTTATTTAAAAATACTTTGACAATAATTGTTTCATGTACCTATTAACAAATAGCAATATACAAATTTGTAGATACATTAAAAATGATTTTGTTTTAAATTTTAGCAGCCATTTATTCCCTTCAACTAATGCTACAAGAATTAGAAAAAATAATGGGTAAATATAAAATTAAAATATAAATAGTGACATATTTTTGGTAGTTTTAAAGAACACTCGATTTAAAACTTAAAGTCATACAGCTATTTATGTTTTATGTTTAAGCTTTTAAGGATCATTCGAAATACAATTTTAACCGATTATTTAAACATCACTATAAAATATAAATTTAAATTTTTCATGAAATAATGTTTTGTAATAACTAATATTGCTCTAGTTGACCTCAATTATAAAGTAAATTTTATGTATATAAAATGTATTTAATAATTATTTAAAATGTAATTATGTATGTATAAATATATTTACCTGGATTTATTAACTGCATAATGAATTAATGTGTGATGTATTTGTTACAGGACAAAGTATAAATGATTTTGATATGGGTAATAACTATTTTTTTTTTTTAGTCGTAATTGATCTTAAAAATTTATTCTGGAGTTGATACTTGCTTCATTATATACATTTCATTTTTTATGTCAGATAACAAATGTTAATATATTCAACTTTTAATCGAAGGGTGAAAGAGAGAGAGTGAGACTTAGTAACAAATTACGGTGATATTTTGTACGTTATGATTGTAAATTAAATAGAAAAACGAATATTTTTCACCTTATCAAAAAGAAGTTGGCCTAATGTTGATGTATAATAAACTCTTTGGGATTTCAAGTATAGAAAGAATACAATCGTTGAATTTCATTACTAATGATTGGTTGTACAAAAAATAAGTCGTATCGCAATTATTTAAAATGTTATGCAAAAATAATTATGTATCACGAGCTACTAAAATATTTTTTAGTTTTATTATTTCTTCGCAACATCGTCATTTAACCATTAATTCCATAGATATGCAAACATTGAATGACGCTGCAGCCGACAGAAGAGATCATCTTGTTATAGCTTTAAAAAATGTAATCAGACGTCGATTATTAGGTAAATATTATTATAGAGTTGTATGGTTTTTGAACGCTATCAAATATATTATTTATTTAAGTTATTTAATTGGAACAAGGATACAACTGAATAAATTATAACTACTAACACGTACTTTCATGCAATACAAATATCATGGCTGTACAATACGGACACCGTGCTTATTGTATTATTTTTTTATGACTTTGTATTATCAGTTAAAATCGTTGTGTCCTGCACCAAAAAGAAAAGTTGTAACTAGCAAGCTAATATGAGCAAATTAAAAAAAAACGTTTCAAATTTTTTAGATGCACCTGTGCAGCATGTAGATGATGAAGCCGAGGTATTACTTAAATGCCATTTTATAGGATTATACTTAAGTGTACAATCTCCGGAATCATACATAATTGAAGTTAAAATTGACTCAATTGATTTTACGATCTTATGTATCTTAACCGATAAACATAACGCCCAAAGAAGATACAGAAAAATTGCTAACGCATGGTCCGAAATAAGCCCAGATAACCATAACCAATCCCTAAAAACACTTGAGGAACAGTTACGACTTGGAATTCCACAAGATCCACCCAGATCCTAACTTAATGTTAGAAAAAAACTGGCATTTATATTCTGTACATTCCATAATATATTATAATTTAACTTATCATTATCACTATATTCATTATAATAGCTTAAATTGTAAAATATTATACATATACTTAAGCTGACGGAAAAAGAACCGTCGGTGGACTTTTTGAAAAACATATTCCATATTATACATTTTTAAGTACATAATATTGTATGAATATTTCTGTTTTACGTCATATCTACCAATAAAATAAATAATTACCGAATAAGGAAAGTTATATTTTTGTGTTATCTAAAATACCTTTATTAAATGACTGTGCAAATTGGGTGACAGGGTCATTGTTTATATTTCTAATAGATAATTGATCTTATTGGTTAGAGTGATATATATAGAGATTTGATATTGGGTGTAACATAACATAAATGGAGTTCTAATGTTGGTGACCAAATAAAACAGCGTAGAATAGATTTTATATATATGGCCAGATGTGGAATATAATATCCTGGCTGTATCCAATGGTATTGGATTGGTTTAAAATAAGAACAATGCAGGGTACGAAAATTAATCCTACATGCTATTTTAAATCGAAAAGAATGTCGATTTCGATTTTTTTTTTGCAACGCACTATTGTGTGCTAAACTCCAAATTTGTGAAATCGTTTATGTGGATGTGTATTGATTTAGAGAAGCGTATTTTGTGCGTGTATTACTCATGTTTTGTTTTTCTCGTTGCTATGAAACTAAAAAAATAAGACACTTAAAACAATGAAAATGTATTGTGTTTTTGCAAACAGTAACTTCAAGGTCCATTGCCATTAAATAGTACAAAAAATGTATAAAATAAAATAAAATAATAATACACAATATTAATTAGAAACACAATTAGTTCTAAAATGCTTGTGATTCCACGCCCCCTCTAATATGGTCTGAACTTTAAAATATATATTATAAAACACATTTTGATTATAAATTGCTCCTATATATTACATTAAGCTAACTTTTAAGCAAACCATATTTATTTTAATTAAAATAGTGGGAATACATTTTTTTTCCATAGAAGTAGCTTTGATTCTTTGTTTTTTTCCTAATCGTAGTTTAAGTATTCAAATTAGACTTAGAGTAGAGGTAACCAAGGTGTATAGTGAAAATCTATGACATGTAAAATTGTTTTTTTTTATATTGTATTCTAACACAAAAATTCCTTTTAGGGACAACAAATATTGTTGTAACTTGAAAACAACAATTTGCATAAAGTGATTAAAACTAATAGTAGTATATATCGACCTGTATCGAACAAAAAAATAAGTTGTTTTTCAGTGAGATATTTTCGCATATGAAACATTTATACAAATAAGAACGGTTACGACGACAACAACAGCAGAACCCACAAAAACAATTTCATTTTTTCAGCAAATGAATAGATTTTCAATTGAAACCTAAGCTTCAATAAAATATCTGTTTATATTTTATACTGCAAAATTGAGAACAATTTTCAAAAATACCACCCATAATATACAGTTTTGATAATATAAACCAAAAACAAAAAAAATATAAGCAGTTTATTACATTGTAAAAAAAAAAACGAATATTTAATATGTTATTTAAGAAATAATAGAGTGTTTAATATAATTTTTTCTATTAGCCCCATAAAAATAATAATAAAAATATTACTGTTAAAAAGTTATCAGTATATCCTTTAAATAATAACGGCCCTTGTCATGTTTGAGAATTTTTATTTTATAATGAACAACAAATTTCTAAATATGTAAAAATTGAAAAGATTTTTGGATACCCACATCGAGCATTCTTCAATTAAACTATGTTTTGTTTACCGACATTATTTTTCCAGCATGGAAAGCATCGAAAATATCACATAAAAATATATTTTCTTT